GAAAGGCGAAAGAACGGAAAGGCGATAGGTCCAAGCATTTGAAGGTGTTTTAACAAAAGGTTCAACTCCTATGCATTAGCCGCATTACTGAATACCTAGCAGACCGCCTATGCATTAGCCGCTTTACTGAATACCTAGCAGACCACCTATGCATTAGCCGCATTACTGAATACCTAGCAGACCGCCTGTGCATTAGCCGCTTTACTGAATACCTAGCAGACCGCCTGTGCATTAGCCGCTTTACTGAATACCTAGCAGACCGCCTGTGCATTAGCCGCTTTACTGAATACCTAGCAGACCGCCTGTGCATTAGCCGCTTTACTGAATACCTAGCAGACCGCCTGTGCATTAGCCGCTTTACTGAATACCTAGCAGACCGCCTATGCATTAGCCGTTTTACTGAATATCTAGCAGACCGCCTATGCACTAGCCGCTTTAAACAGTTTTGCAGGTACGTTTTCACACCTACCACTGCCGGTCTTCGTTGGCCACAGCAGCAGTGGCAGGTCTGTGGCCCCCTGCTTCTTTTGGTCGTAGTAGTAAGGCCAGAAACTACTATATAGTAGCACCCAGCCTTCTAGTGGAACCGACGGTAAAATTACCAGATAAAACCTTAGAAACAGGTGTTAACACTCTGACATTGGTTTGCTGTTAACTCAATTCCCACGATGAGAAGGAAGGTGTGGGAAACGCAAGGTGAAAAGGTCAGCGAAAACGGTATTGTTTAACCAAAGTTTCACAGCAAGCGCAAGTAAACCTCTGGGGCCTGGAGGTCTTCAAGAGGAAGCAGGGCCAAAAGCTCAATGCGTGACTGCAGAAAAGGCTTAAAGATTGAAAGGCAGGTACGTCAGTGCTGGCCGGGCACTGATATCACATCCACTTGGTGCGGTCTTTGTTAGATGAGGCACACCAAGGGATCCTCATCCCCCTGCGAGAGAACCGGTGGACCCTTAGAAACAGGGCTTGACACACACACAGCCGTATTCGGCGCGTTCTCCCTTGCTTACAAAGTAGTAGCGAGGCCAGGGGCCTCTAGTAGCGTCCTGACTCCCCGGAGAACTTTTGTACAGAAAGCGCCAATATTGGCGCTGCGAAAAACTATTAGCTACCTAAAAAGCCTTAGAAAGACAGACAAAGCAAACAAAACAAAAGCAGACTAAGAGGGCAAGAAAGAAAGATAGGGGTAGTTACGAGGCCCACTTAGTTAAATGAAAGTAGTTCGCGAGCGGGACATTTGTCTTAAACCGCCCGGGTAGCTAGCAATAGGTGTGTTGAGTGCGATTTCCTTCTGTTGCTCGAATAGCGGGTGGGATAGCAAAGGAGGCCCAGGGGCAGGGAGGGGGAAAA